ATCCGTAAAACTAAAAAAAAAGTAAACATAAACACCTTGAGAAAACTTCTTCCGTATCAAGTGGTTAAAGTGGAGTTTTAAAACTATTTTTGTTGAAAATAAGGCCGTTAGTTTACAAGCAGGTATGTAACTAAGCGATCCGCTAATGTGTGGGTATCTTGCTTATGAAAAATGCTGTATTTAGATATCATTGCTATTCATATAAGCTACCGTTCTTTGATAGGATATTTTCAAATTGAACTTTTGTCTTATTGTTACTATTTATTACAGAAAATGGTGCAATGCTTACATGTATTGTTTCATTTGATTGCAGGAGAACAGTTGAACCAGGTCTTGGTGCATACTTATGTAGTTGTCATTTTGTGGATGGTAAAAAAGAAAATGGACCTACACTGTTTAGGTATAATAGGGAGAAGCAATTAAACTTTCCATCACCAGAAAGAAGAACCCGTAAAAAGACCATTGATAAACCTTTTAATATTGATGTAGATATAAGGTTAGTTATACAATATCAATTTCATTCACGTGTGTGCAAATTCAGTGTGTTCACAGATCTGAAAGCGAGCCACAACCATCCACCTCAATACAAACTGATGAACCTCATACAAAAGGTTCGATGTCAAATGCATCACTAGATGCTGAAAACTATTATCTTTGGCAGGATCTGGAGCTAGCTACAGCGAACCTTATGCATCTCACTGATAGGTTTTCTTTTGATGTTGTGAAAGGAAATGACAGGCTAGTACTGGTGTATACAGGCTTACCATCAGAGAAAATATTTTTTTCTTTATTCAACCTGTTGAAGGACATTGATATATATTATTATTATAAATGGAAACTTAAAAAAATGAGAAAAATAGATCAGTTATTCATGACTCTTACTAAGCCAAGACAAAATTTCCCTCATGATGATTTAGCTGTTCAATTCAATGTATCACAGGGTCCAGTATCAAATGTTATAACAACATGGATACATTTATTTCAAGAAAATATTTTCAGTAGTTTTACAAATTATAGGATAATCATAGATTGTACTGAAGTATATACATCTGTATGTCGGTCAAGTATAGCGACATGAAAACTAACATATAGCTCATACAAATACAGAAATACCTGCAAAAGGTTAATTGGTGTATCTCCTAATGGAGCACTTACTTATATGTCAAGTTTGTATCCTGGGTCAGACAAAAAAATTATTAAGGATTGTGGAATACTCAATCAGCTTGAAGCAGGAGATTTAGTATTGGAAGATAAAGGTTTTTTAATAAAAGACTTGATGCCTTCTGGTGTCAATATTAACATTCCATCATTTCTTACAACACAACAGTTCACTACTGCACAGGTAAGACAAACAGAATGTATTGCACAAGCTACGATTCATGTTGAACGTGCAATAAGAAGAATAAACACATTCAGTATATTCGATGTTATTCCATATGCTTTGTTGCCACATGCAGATGTAGTATTTCAAGTTATAGGTACTTTGACTAACTTACAGTATCCACTTATAAGAGAAGTTGAACAGTTTTATTCTGCAGGTACCCATAAAGTGTAGTTTGGTATAAAAATTGATATGTATATAGTATAATAGTGTATCTAGTTTAGAGTATAATAATACTAGTGACATGAATTAGCAATAAATAACTGTCCAGCACTTGTTTTATTCACACATCAGTATGATACTGCTTTATAATTCATCTGCTCTACTAGCTACCTAATCAAACATCCTTTATGTACAAATATAGTTTCCATTGTCTAGAGCACATAATTGTGGACAAAATAATTTGACAGCTGGTAGAGAAGATAATGTCTGTAAACAATGGCAAATAAAACACCAGTTGCATAAATATTGTTTTATTTTCAATCATGATAAAATATTTGTCAGAAATTGTTCACTGTAAAATGATTTTAAAATATTTAAATTACTTTCCCATTCATCGTTTCTTGAAATTCTCATAACTACTTTATCTTTTGGAGTCTATATCACTATATACCTTTATTTGTAATGTGTAACTGTCTTTGCACTTGGTGATAATAATTATAATTTTGATGAATGGTCCAGGAACAGTTATAATACGAAACAAGATAATTTTTATTTTTAGTGAGCACCTCTGACAAATTTTCTTCATTCCTACGTTTGAAAGAGCATCTCACTTCAATAGTACAATTTTCACTTATATATCCATCAAGGCTTGCACCTAAAAAACCACATTCACCAAAGCAGAATCCTGCAGGTTCTACATGTAATCCTGTAATATCTCCAAATCTTTCTATGGCAGTATGTTCATTCTCCCTTCCCCACTGAATAGCCCAAACACCACTCAATTCATATCCATCTAATAACACTTTGAATAATGGTTTTAGGTACTTTTTCCTTTGGCAAGCTGATAAAACTGTACCAAACTTGCTGGATGTCAGTCTGTACTTTCTTGCCAATTTGCATTATTTGACTGACCAATAGTCATCTCTACAACTTTCCTTATAATATCTGCACTCAAACAAGATTTCTGTAAAAAGTAATCTTCTTTATTAGGGGTTGTTGTGTAGCTCAGGAAAGTCTTTGGTCAATATATACGCCTAAGAATCTACCACAGTCTGTCAGCTTGACTTCTACCCTATCAGCTAAGTGGATCTTCGTAGCTTCCATTTTTTTCTTTAACTTGAATATTATCGCATTTGTTTTTGATGTGTTCAAGGATAGATCGTTGCGAGCAAACCACCAAAATGCTTTCTCGCATATGCTCAATGTATTTTCGGCTACTTGGTTGAAATCTTGGCCAGCTATAATCACACTAGTATCATCTGCATATTGAATAGTACATACATTGTTCGGGTTTGTTATACTATCACTCAGATCATTTATAAACATCACAAAGAGGAGAGGACCCAAGACGTTTCCTTGTGGGATACCTCTATCTATTGTTAACTGCGATGAGACTGCTGTCCTGCTATTCTTTATGATGGAAACACTTTGTTGGCGGTCTGTTAAATAAGACTTGACCCAGTTCCAGGCACTTCCCCTGATTCCAAATGCCTCAAGTTTACAGTAAGACAGAATGTTCTACACAATCATATGCTTTGGAGAGATCAAAAAACAAACCCAATGATATCATATTATTTCCCAGACATTCTATAATACTGTGGCTAAAGGAGTATATAGCCGTATTTATCGATTTCCCTTTTATAAAGCCATGTTGTGATTCAGAAATTAAGTTATTACAGAGCATGTGATACATGATTCGTGAATACATCACCAGTTCGAAACCCTTTGCAAAGCAATTCAAGAAAATAACAACTGTCTTCTAAAAAGGTATGCTACAAAAATGTTCTTACAAACTACTCGATCTTTATGTTATACAGCGGTTCTGCAAGGTCTAGGTGTTAAACGGGATAATTTTGACAAAAATAGCACTAATTCTGCACCAATGTATACGCTACTAGGTTGACCTAAAACTCCAGCTTATGCTACTAGTTTATTCTGATATGAATAAAGCAACTTATTTAATTGATTGAAAAATTGATATGAGAAATGTGCGATGAATGATATTTCACTGATGTCTAAATAGCACTGTTTTTGTGTACATACATCTTATCCTTTCTTTTTTCAATTGATCCATTTTTTTCATCGTTTCATAATGAATCTGAATTTTGAAATATTTTTGTAAAATTAGCTTTATAATACTAAATGAATATCCATCTATCAAATCATCTTCAAACAAGTGATGCTCAAACTTATCTAAAATTTTTGTAGGTACTATATAGTTTCCATTGTGTTTTTAATCAAAATAGCAGGAAGATTTGGCACATGTTTATTAAATATGTCTCTAGGTTTATGAAAAAATCTGAAATACTTTTCGGCAGCTACACAAATTTGGAGTATTATGTCTGAGGGAGTAGTTAATGCTCTATATTTTTTTCTTTTTTGTAAATATTTGACATTATCACCTTCGAGTACCTTAGTACATTGACTGCAAGTTATGCATTTCAGAAAACTTCTCACCACATAGCCTGAAATATAGCCAACTACATCTTCAGCATAATCTGTTAAATTCCAGGCTTGTGATGAATAAAACTTATAAGTAGCAATATCATTCATAATTTTTTTTTCAAAATCCAAATAGGTTTCACTACTTTTCAAATCATTGCCACTATCATACACTGTAACCTGATGTCCACTCCCACAAGTCAGAATGGTGAGATCTTTGATGGACACATTACCAGATTCTGGTCCTGTGACCTCTGTATGTATAAGGAGGCGCTTATAAGCCGCTTCAAAATGTCTGGCTGAAGGGTAATTATTAAATCCACCCTTAGCTCTTATAGCTCCGAAAAAATGCTCTAGATGATCTTGAGAAAATTTGTTAGTTAAAATATACTTTAATTGTTCCGAGTCTACCTCTTTGCCTTCTAATTCTGATTTTTCAACAAATTTTGAATAATATTGCCTCAAACTAGTGACGCTTATCAGAAATCCTAGAAAACCTGTTTTTCTAGGGGATTGAGTTACTGGAACATCAGCCAACTTCAAATTGCTAATGTATTGGCACATTTCATCCATATAACTAAAAAAAGTTTTTGCAGTGGCCTGTGATAATGGTCGCTTAAATATGTATTTCGCCAATCTATTTCTGGAATTAAAAATGTCGAATAGATTGTTAAATTTCAGGATAAAATCGGCTGTAGGTTTCGCATTCCTAAATGATGGTATTTTCAAATCTAGACTCAAATACATCAATGCATCAGCCACACTCTTGCTTAATGTCTGAGTGGCAATTTTCACTTTTATTTTTTCTAGAGTCCACTGTAAATGTCGGTTTCTGATTTTTGTGCCTAAATGTAGTCCCTCAAAATTTTGAATTTCTACGAGCTTTTCCAAAAAAGTCCAGTCTATGGTATTATTATCATTGTCTATCAAATATTTTTGTGAGCCAAATGTATTTCTGATCAATTTCATCATGTGCGAAGGGTCCAAAAATATGAAAACCTTATTACCTGTTACTGGATGAGCAAAATGTGTTTTAAGGTTATTAATGTCCTTGAAATCTGCACCTAAACATGATGACATCGTAAAATTTACAGGAGCACCATCAAAAGTTATAGAGATAACTATGACTCATGACTCATGTACAAATGTGAGACATTTCTTAACTACTCTGGTTTCTCAACACCAGTAAGGCCGTCCAAAAAAAAAATAATCCACAGGTAACTTCCATGAAGCATTTATACAAACAACCATACATACTAAAACTTCTTTGGCATGAGGTAGAACATCTGAATCAAATTTAGTTCCAATATCAATATAACCAGTGAATTTTGTCCCAGTCCATTCGACCTGCTCCCTGATAGACATTTCATGTAAGACCAGGTTGCACAGGATGTTCTGGTTTTTTGACGCTAACTTTTTTACTTTCAAAGCATTTAGTGCTTCTGAAGTAAAACCAGGAGAGCCATCAATTGACTGATACCATTTAGAAATCGTGGATGGATGAGGTAAAGATTTATTAAAAGTATTCCTTACGAACTGGTATGCTTTTGGGGAGTAAAAAGATAGCGTCAAAGCAAAACATCTAATAGATGGGTCATATTTTTGTAAAGATGGGCCTTTCAACATCCTCTCGAATATTTTTTGCCCTGAGGTTGATAAAGAGGCCTGAAAAAACAAAAAGATGGGTGTAAGGTGTAATAGCACTGCTGCTCATTATTTTAGAGTTAAATCACCACATTCATCTTAAAAGGTTGATTTTGACTACCTTCTCCAGTCATTTACATACATTTAACTAGTTAAATTAAACAGGAATTGATGAAACAAGTAAATTTATTACACATTCAATTAAAAACATGAACCCTAAACTGAGTCTTTACTACTATCCAAAAATCAGTATGATTGATACCAAAGAAAAAAATTGAAATAATTTTACTTCTGTCCGTTATTCTATATTATCTAATTTAGAGATTTTTACCTCAAGAACAGTCCCTGACGAATTAGTTATATATGATTTTTCTTTAAGCAGCTTCATCAAGCCTCCTAATGTCTTGATTTTTTTCTTAAAGTATGTATTGCTAGCCTGAAGATTATGACTCTTCTTTCTCAGAGCAGTTATAGTATTCTTCATCAAATGAAAATTCTTCTTCGCCTTCTCTGGTGTAGAAAAGTCTGATGAAGATAAGTCACCCACATACCTTCTTTTTCTGAAACAATGAGATATGATTGGAATTCATCATATATGTGAAGCATATGTCATTAAAATCTTATTAGATCATCTATTTTCTCAATATTTCTCACCTATTTTTACGTGCAGTTGCAAGAGAAACATCCTTGAACCCAGCATCAGGCTCTGGTTGGTTCTCAGTTTCTGAGACGCTAATTGTTGATGAAGAAGATCCAAAGCTTTGATCAAGATTGGAAACTGATGCTTTTTTCCTGTTGCTGACCTATAAAAATAAAATATCATAATATAATTATATTATATTAAATTATATAAAATATTTCATGTAATTTAATATTCAAAACAAAAATACTTACTGGTAGACAAGCCAGAAATGTTGGGTAGGTCATCAAATTTCAGCCTGAAACAAAAAGCAAGTATTATATTACTATAAAGTATCTAGTTCTGCATAATTCTGCAAGCTTCAGTTGAATATATTTATTTGCTTTGATATGAGAATGATCATTTACCTCTTTACATCAGGAATGTTATCTTGATGGCACATCCCCTTGAATGGCTGAGTAACTTGATCTGTTGAACTTTCGCTAATTGAAGATTCACAACTGTCAAATCAATAAAATATCATGTAAAAATAAGCTTTGCTAGTCACAAACCAATTGAATAACACTGTGAGTTTCTTCATTTCATGTAATGAATCCATCATTTCTACAAAAATCTGTATGATGCCTCTCAAATATAGTTACAAACTGTTGTTTGAGAATTTAATAAGACCTTCTAATTCTGTATGTGTGTTTCATATTTAGATCATTTACAACTCAAACCTAGTCCCTATGCGAACAGAGAAACGAAAAAAGCTGATGAAGCTATGCTAGCAAATTAGGTACTGAAAATTACAATTTAGGTCTTTGCGTATGCTTCTAAACTTCATCAGCATTAGTCGACCAGGCATTCATGTCTTTTTTGAACAGTTCAAGCACTCCTGTGGTCATTCTTTTTTGACAAGTAATAGTGTCTGTTGTTTTGGCAAAAATAAGCTTTAGTAGTCACAAAGCAATTAAATAACACTGTGAGTTTCTTCATTTCATGTAATGTATCCATCGTTTCTACAAAAATCTGTATGATGATTCTCAAATATAGTTAAAAACTGTTGTTTAAGAATTTAAGAAGACCTTCTAATTCTGTATGTGTGTTTCGTATTTAGATCATTTACAACTCAAAACCTAGTCCTTATGCGAACAGAGAAACGAAAAAAGCTGATGAAGCTATGCTAGCAAATTAGGTACTGAAAATTACAATTTAGGTCTTTGCGTATGCTTCTAAACTTCATCAGCATTAGTCGACCAGGCATTCATGTCTTTTTTGAACAGTTCAAGCACTCCTGTGGTCATTCTTTTTTGACAAGTAATAGTGTCTGTTGTTTTGGCAAAAATAAGCTTTAGTAGTCACAAAGCAATTCAATAACACTGCGAGTTTCTTCATTTCATGTAATGTATCCATCGTTTCTACAAAAATCTGTATGATGACTCTCAAATATAGTTAAAAACTGTTGTTTAAGAATTTAAGAAGACCTTCTAATTCTGACAAATTTGTAGTTGGGTACTTCGACACTACTATTACATATTTTGAATGATTGTTTAGTTTAGTTAAGAGAACAGAGACCCTAACTCAAGTTAAATCAACAAGTGATAAATTCAAACACGTTTGCCATAGAAATATCTACTCCTGCACGGACACTGTAAACATTTCACAACACTTTCACTATTTGTAGTTGTGATTGCTTGTTCTAAGCTTCTAATTAATAATCCTTATTAACGGGAGCCTCATTATTAAGATTTCGCTAATGTTTACATTCATATACGTTGTAGGTTAGAAATAGGAAACTGTTGTTTAAGAAGACCTTCTAATTCTGACAAATTTGTAGTTGGGTACTTCGACACTACTATTACATATTTTGAATGATTGTTTAATTTAGTTTAGAGAACAGAGACCCTAACTCAAGTTAAATCAACAAGTGATAAATTCAAACTTACGTTTGCCATAGAAATATCTACTTCTGCACGGACACTAAACACTTCACAACACTCACTATTTGTAGTTGCAATTGCTTGTTCTAAGCTTCTAATTAATCCTTATTAACGGGAGCCTCATTATTAAGATTTCGATAATGTTTACATTCATATACGTTGTAGGTTAGAAATCGGAGGTGATGCAATCGGACATACGCTGTATATCAATCGGTTGGAAAAGCGGAGCTTTATGCCATATTGTAAAATTATAACATGAATAGGGGCTTACAATCATATTTTTATCGTATTTATAAACCGATGATGATTTCAATAAACTGATGAACGTCAAAGAATAATTGCAGCCTTTGGCGGTAGACATCGCAATCTGTAAACATAAAAAAACTACTAGATTCATCCGATTTTAATGGCTCTAGTCCGGTCCGTTTAGACAATGGAATATAAAAATTTTGAATCTTTTCGAAAATGTTGATTTTCACGCGTAAAAAAGGACAAATCTATTTGGCGTGATCCAATATTGGATGAAGCGATAGTCATGAAGCCGAAAATGGCACGTTTTTGACGTTCCGCTCGCACTCGCTCGCTTTCGTAATACGATCGTATCTACAATACCCCGCCTAACAGGAATCCGGGGATCTGGAGGGGAAATTCAAAATTGAAACTTCAAACTAAAAATGTGTGCATATCTTTGAATTTTCTAATCTGCCGAGTTTAAAAAATGCGATCGGGTAACGTGTCGTATGTCGGTTTAATCAGGAGACTTTGGTCTTTCGTTTTGCGAAAAAAAATCGTAGCTACGTCGCTCCGTAACGCAGGTCCGTATCGACGAAGACAAAGTACGCCGAAAAACGGTTGTCATCGGTACTTTTGAGGCGCTCAAAGTTTACTTTTTCGAAATTTGACGGTAATTCTGACGGTCAGAATCGTTTCGTCAGCTCATTATCGTTATTTTTCGATAGCTGTATAATTTTTACTCGCTCA